AGGCTTATATTGTCCCTGCAGGGTTCCAGTATCTCTCCTTTGAGGGGAAGGACAATGTTAATAGTTCCCAATACAAATAACATACAACCTTAAACCAAATCGTTGCTATTAAGATGTTTACAGTTTGGACACAATACACAGAAATGGTGAATTCAGTTATTATCTACAATATAAATAGTAGGCTTRCAGAAGGGTTTACAGTTTCTGATGTTGGACAAAGAGCTGGGAGTGAGGTGGAGGATGAGATGTTGAGTGGATAGGAGGTAAGGATGTAGAGTTATTATATCTTAGGAAGTATGAAAGAAGAATCTAAAGAAGAAGGTTTAGTAGCAGGAGAAGAAAGTAATTTTGGGAAGACAAGTGGGAAGACAGTAGAACACATAAACAAAAAACACATAAATATTAGAAAAATAAAAAAATGTAAAAATAGGAGGAAAARAGAATATACAACACAACTGTAAGATACTATTTAGACATCCCAGTCCTCAGTATCCTAATTCATGTTAGGGATGTGAGGGCGAGAGAGAGAGAGAGAGAGAGAGAGAGAGAGAGAGAGGGAGGGAGAGGAAAGTATAATCTTGAAGAAAGAAATAAGAATTGTTTTGGTTGGAGATTAGTATCTTTCCTGCTTTCCTTCTCTCCCAGTAGATGGGGTTGTCTGTTGTTAGCTCATATCTCCACCCTCAGGATGGTGAAGGTTACCAAAGTAGGAGGGTTGGACTTGGGTGCAGGTCACCTGGAAGTGGGGTATGGCACCTGCCAGTCCCCAATGGGAGATTGCACCCCAAGGATCTCCTTTGGGGCCTGCTCATGTGATGTGAGTGCCTGGTCTTATCTCCTTATCTTGCCTATAGATCTCACAGTTCCTGGTGTCTTAAATTAGACTCCAAATTGTATCTCACTTACCCTTTCCCTTTCTACTTCCTAATCAGGGACCTTTATCTCCAGAGGTCTTATGGGTTGTGCTTTCGGAGCCGCACACCTGTCTTGGAGAGTTGTTTTGTATTGTGCAGTCACTGCCAGGCTAGCGGCTGCCRGGGAGACAGGGTAATTGGGAACTATGATACCTGCTCAGCCAATGTTCTAAACTTGGAGTTCCCCCAACCAAAGGTGGTGATGAAGGTGACCCAAGATGGAGGCAACTGTTTTCAGCCATGGGGTGTTGGGTCGGGTTGGGGGAGCCGGGCCATGGTGTTGGGCGATGTGTTTAGAGATTAGCTCTATGGTGTGCAGTGTTGTGGCTRTTGGCTGTCTTCAGAACCTGTGCGATGTCCCCAGGTGCAGGTAGTCTACTGCACACAGGGGACTATGGCAGTGGCTGCAGAGTCCCAAGATGGAGGTGATGTGGGAGCCCCATGTTAGTAGATGGAGTCTGCATGGGAGTGGTGTTTGGAGTTCCTGCGCTTGGGCAGTGGCCAGGTGTCCTGCTTGGGAGCATTGTCTGGGATTTCTGTGTGGGTGGGTTGCCAGAAGTCCTTTGTGGGTTCTGATGCTGGTGGTCCTGCTTGGGTACCTGAGAGACCTATGTTGGTGAGTAGTGGGGAGTCCTGCTCTAACGCTGAGGCCTGAAGCCCTGTGTGGGAGCAGCTGTGGTGGGGGTCTCTCTCTCTCTCTCTCTCACTCTCTCTCTCTCTCTCTCTCTCAAAGAAGCAGTATTCTTACTACTTGAGTCCTAGGTCATGGAGCGACACAGAATGCTTCCTCCCTCTGGACCACCATCTTGGATCCTCCTCTAATTACATATATTTTCTAGCTCAGCTTCATTATGTGTTTGATAATATTATTAAGTGAATGTGCATGTAATTGTACATTATTTAGAATTTTACTCTGTTTTAGTGTGAGCCTTATTCTGCTGCCCCCTCTCCCCCCCACAATGAATTTGGAGCCTGTTAGGTAAATTTTCTCCAGAATAAACCATTCCATTCTCATTTGTTTGCAAAAGGGATAATTGCTTAGCTATTAGGAGAGGGAGAGGACCTAGAARTTTAACTACTTTGTATGCAGACTTTAAATCAATTCTTGTATTATCTCCCTTTCCCTTCACCTTGCTCCCTGATGGCCATTTTTCTTTTGTGGGGGTTTAAGCCTGAATATTTCCAGGATTCTGTTTTCAAATTCATCTTGTGTTTCAATGGTATTCCATCCATGGTCATTTAGAATTGAATTTCTTCTTCCTTAAGGCCATCTACTTTCTAGTTTCTGATTTTTCATTGCTTTGTCATCTGCTCTTTTTCCTCTCTTTTTTTCCTTTAACCTTGGGGATTTATTCATTTTCCCCCTTGTTTTGCTTTAATGAGGTTTTATTGAGCAATAGAGAAATTTATGCAATCTATCATGTTTAATCAGAAGTCCTTCCTATTATATTAGATCTAAAATATAAATGTGTAGTCATGCTTAAAACTCATTATTGACACCTTGTTCTTATCAGGATAAGGTTTAAACTCTGCAGCAAGATATATAAAAGCTTTTATGATAATGAATCTCATCTACGTCTCCAGCCTTATAACTGGCCCCAAATCTCATCTCCTCCGTTCTTTACTCTAGCCATATTGAACTCTTTGTAGTTTACTGAATGTGTTGAGTTCTCTGCACTTTGTATTTCACTTCCTACTTTATTCAATATTTATTTGAGAGTTATCAGCATTGGATTTATAATTCAGGCAAGAAGATATAGATGAGGTTCCCTGAAGCAGCACTATAGAGTGAGAAGTGAAATAATCCTGGGATTGAGCCTTAAAGAAATCTAACATGTAGGATTGTAAGGCAGAGGAAAACATACAAAAAGAGAACAAAAAGGAGTGGATAAATAGTAGGAGGAAATTTGGAATTTATAGTTCTGTGGGAAAGGGGCTGTTTTAAGATGCAAACAATAGATCTTGATGAAATATATGGGTAAGATGATTAAGAAATTATTTTGTTTCTGGCATGTAGGTTATTGTTCACCTTAAAACAGTGGGTGAACACTGTTTTGACAGAATGATGATGACAGAGAAGGAGTTATCTAACTGTGAAACTGCCTTCTTCCAAAGTTGGAGGCAAGAACATCTAGTAAAAGAAAACAGAGTTGTGTAAATAGAGTAGTTGGAACTTTGAAGAGAGTCAAAATGAATTTTGAAATAGTTATTCTAGAAGTATGAACATGTTGACTAGAGAAATGTAGTAGGGTTACTGGTTGATTGAAGATAGTGATAAGTACTGTACCATAATTCTAGTCTGTCCTGTTGTGATCTGTATCTTCTAGCACTCACCTGGCAAGACACAAGCATGGGCATATTTTTATACGAAGTTTATATAAAATTGGTCTTATTCAGGGTTGGGTCTTTATTGACAAGGGAAAATTAGAAAAAAGAGCAAATCAGTTTAAGGAGTGGGTGAAATAATACATAGTAGTCCACCCGTGTCTGTGGGGCCCCCTGGTGTAAGCGGGAAATCTTACTATATATAAATATATACACTATATTTTTTCCTATGCATAAATTTCTGAGATAAATTATAAGTTTAAATTGGGCATAGTAAGAGATTAACAGCAATGAAAAACAGAACAATTATAATGATATACTGTAATAAATAAAAGTTATGTGAATGTAGTCTCTTGAGAAAGTTAAGATAGATGTTAATATTTTTGGATTGGTTGACTACAGGTAGCTGAAACCATGGAAAGTGAAATGATGGGTAGGAGGATACTGCTGTTACATGAAATTTGAGCTGCATAAGGAAGTCAGGAGGACAATAGTGGGTAGGGAAAAAAATACTTATCATTTAATTGAATAAGTTTATAAGGGCAAAGGATTTTATTATGAAACAGGATTCAAGGTTGAAATATGGTCTCCTGGTTTCAAAGAGCTTATATTCTATGGACTGATTTACTTAATTATATAGACCTTTTATATTCAGATATTCTTACTTAACTCTTGTATTTTTGAGGTGTTTAGTTGATATCTTCATTAACTTTTTGTGAAGTCCTCCTGGGCCAACTGAATTAGGAGATGTAGGTAATTAGAGTAAAAGAGAGGACATATATATATATTGTCTATAAAGAAGACTGATAATACTAAAGGAGAAATAGACTAGAAATACAAAAGGAGATAGCTTTCATCAGTACTTTTAAAAAGAGAATAGGGATGGTAACTAGGAGTTATCAAAGGCATATGTCAGAAAGAATTATAGTCCTCAATTGTTTATTCTTTTTTGTTCCCCTGGAAGGTATTGAAACTGAAGATACTTAATATTTTCTTTTTCTCTTTTTCTGGCAGGGGTGGTGATACCAGGGATTGAACTCAGGGGCACTCAACCACTGAGCCACATTCCCAGCCCTATTTTGTATTTTCATTAGAGACAAGGTCTTACTGAGTTACTTAGTGTCTCGCTAGGTTGCTGAGGTTGGCTTTGAACTCCCGATCCTCCTGCCTCACCCTCCCAAGCCTCTGAGTATACAGGCAATCCTCCTGTCTCAGCCTTATACACGTGCACCACTATGCCTGCTACAGTATTTTCTTAAAATGAACTTTTTTCATCTTTGTTTGAAAGGAGAAGAGAGGATCATGTAATTTTCAATTTTGTATCATCAAAAGAAGGAACATATTGTATTCAACTATTTTATTCATCTAAGCACCGAAAAAATATAATTTTTGCTTTGCTGCAGTTGCTGGCTTTTCTAATTTATGCCTATTATAATTCTTACCTAATAGTCTTCATTGTTTTCCTCTTTATAGATTTAGACATAGTTAACAGATAAATTATAAAATTTGATGCCAATAAATTTTACCTCTTTGACTTTAGTTTTATTGAACAAGAAACTATGTTTTGAAAAATTTTGTGTATTTGATTGTCTTTGAAAGTTTTTGGCTTGAAAGATTTTTGGAAAGCATGCTTTTAGTGTTCAATTTTTAAATCTCTATTTTTCTTAAACAAGATGTTATAAAAATGCTCCCTCAATGTATGGATAGTTACAGGATGTATGTTTCATTCAAATTAAATAAAAGGAATATTTGCAATTGTAGAACAACAGCGGGAAGAGAAACAGGATACTTTTACAGAAAAATTAGTTACTCAGATCATAAAAAATCTTCAAGTGAAAATTTCCAACATCCATATTCGTTATGAAGATGATGTAAGTATTTTAAAAATATAGATGATTTTAAAAAAGATACATTTATATGTAAGTCATTGTACTATTTGTTGATACTTACTTTATACTAGCCAGACTATTAAATAATGCTGAGAGGTTGAAAGATATAAAACTGAAGATAACATGATCTATTCTTTTTTTGGGAACTGAGGAATGTGTGTTGTAATTTTCAGTTGTTAATAGTGAGTGTTTGGTTACATTTTCCTAAACTGTTCAAACTCCAGATCATGAATGAAAATGCCTTGGAAATTACCAATTTCAAAATTAAGTACTTTTAAAAATATGCTACTTTTATCTCCTGGAAAGAGCTCTGCTCTAGGGATCAGTAGTGCTAGGCTTAACTAATTGTTTGAGCTTAATTTTTGTTGTTCTCTTAAAACACTGAATTATTTGCTTTATAGTATTATTGTGTCAGTCTTTTTTWAAAAAATTTATTTTAGTTGTAGATGGACACAATACCTTTATTTAATTTATTTATTTTTATGTGGTCCTGAGAATAGAACCCAGTTTCTCACACATGCTAGGCAAGCTCTCTACCACTGAGCCACAACCCCAGCCCTGTGTTAATTTTTTTAATAAACTTTTTTTTATAAACTAGAAAACATTGTGTATCATTATAGTATAACACAGATGTTAATATTTTAGTATTTTAATTTGTTTTARGAAAAATGTGGGAACCAAAGATATTTTCAAAGGAAGAAATACAATGTTTTTGAATATTCAAATAGGATACTTCCTAGAAAGTTAACTTTTTCCATAAAGTGAATTTTGTTCAACTGTTAACAAATTTGACTAAGATTTTCTTTTTTCCCTCTTTAGATCACAAATCGTGAGAAACCACTGTCATTTGGTATTTCTTTACAAAATCTCAGCATGCAGGTACTTCATTTAAAAAAGTAATGACGATATTTAATTGTGGAATACAGTTATTCAGACTACAATTATGATTTGTATATGCTGTATTAGAAATAGTTTTGCATTTAGTTGTAGAAAAGTCATACATAGAATTGGAATTGAGGGGAAAGTAAATTCACATTTATGAAACTGGAAATAAAATTTAGTTTAAAATGTGAGGGCCTATTATTATTGGTAACTACAATTTAGATACTTTTGTTTGCTTAAAAAATTGATTTTCTCCTCAGCACTGCAAAAATATTTCCAAACTTCTAATAAATAAGTACTAAATAAAAATAATAAATATTTGTTTCTGAATCTTTGATTAGTCTTGAAAAACTCAAAGAATTCATTTCCTCACCACCATTATTAGTATTGTCGCATACTTTCTCCTGTTTAATTGTGAAATAGAGCAATTTTGAAAATAAAGGAACACAGAGAATTCTGAAAAATTTGCTTGCATTCAGAATGAATAGTTGTTGAATTTGTTACTTGCTCTAAATATTAAGTAATTTTATAGGACTACACAGTTATAGATAAAGTTTAAATTCCTTTTGTTTTCAATTCACCCTTCTCATCTCCCCTAGAGATAAACATTCTAAGTATTAAAACTTTTATACAATATGTTCATTAAAAATGTAGATTTATTTGAAAAGTTTACATAAATATTTTATGTTTCTTCAGTACGTTAACTTTTCCACTTCACAATATTTAAAAAACTTTTTTTTCCTCACATGTAATGCAATTTAACTTCTATATAGTTTTTTATTATATAGTTGCATATCTTGTATCTGTTGAGTTTTATGTATGATTTCATTTTTCATGGCTCTACCATAAACAAAAACAAAAAGTGAAAAGTTACTCTAAAGTGGGTAGGGTAAGTTGTCAAATACTACTGTTATGTTGAAAATATGGACAGAATACCTTGATTGCTTTAAGGAAAAATGTTTAGTTTTGTCTTTATATAGTTTATAAATCTTGTAATCTGACTCCACGTAACATAAAAGATTTCACCTCTTTTCTTTGTTTGTGTTATATTCTCTGGCCATACTGCGCTGTTTCAGTTCTCTGAACGTGTCATCTTTACATATCTTTGGGCCTTCCTTTTGTGAACAATAATTCCTACTTAGAATCAATAGTTTCTACTCATATCATAAATTTGGTTAGTCATAAGCCTTTTTTCAGGTGTCATTTCTATAGTTCATTATATTAAGGTGATCATCATTTTATTTGGCAAGCTCTTTGTTGCCACTGCCATTTGGCAAGCTCTTTGTTGTCACAGTTAACTATTTAACCTCTGTGGTGACACTTACCTGTTTGTATTTACTTGTTTTAATTGTTTTGTTTTTGACCTCCATGAAAGCAGAGACTTTCCTGTGGTCCTTAATAGTCTTTGATTGAATGATTTTGGGGGGTGGGGTTCCAGGGGTTGAACTCAAAGGCTCTGCGCCACATCCCCAGCCCTATTTTGTATTTTACTTAGAGACAGGGTTTCGCTGAGTTGCTTAGCGCCTCGATTTTGCTGAGGCTGGCTTTGAACTCAGCAATCTTCCTGTCTCAGCCTCCTGAGCCTCTGGGATTATAGGTGTGTGCCACCACAACCAGTTTGAATGGTATATTTTAAAAAAGATTATTAGAGCTTTGTGGTTCTACATAGTAGTTGAGTTCATTCTGACAAACAGATATGTTCAAGGAGTTTTGGTTCACAATCTACCCACTTTGTCCCTCCACCCACGTTTCCTACCTGTCCTTCCTCCCCTCTCCCATGCTTCTTCCTCTACTAGACTTCCTTTTGCTCCCTGGCCTATTATTTGTATTTGATTGGTTCTTTATGTAATTTTATCTTTCCTTTTCCTTTTCCTTTAGTTTACTCTAGTTTCTGCATATGAGAGAAAATATTTTGACTTTTAAGTTTCTGAGTTTGGCGAGTTTCACTTTCATTTCCATCTACTGGCACAGTCCATAATTTCATTCTTTTTAATGGCTGAGTAAAACTCCATTGTGGTTTTTTTTTCTTTTTCTTTTTTTTCTTTTTTTTTTTTTTGTGTGTGTGTGTTTCTTGCACTATGGGGGTCTTGTTAAGGAAGTCAGCACTTATATGACACTGTATTGTCTTCTAGCAGTTATAAATTTTTGTTCTAATTCCTAAGCCTTTGATCCATTTCAGTTTGACTTTTGTTCAGAATGGGTGATATAGGTCTAGTTTCTGTTTTTTTCTACACATAGCCATCCTGTTTTCCTAGCACCACTTGTTAAAAAGGCTTTTTCCAAAATATATTTTTTGCACTTTTTGTCAAATATCACATGGCTGTAGAAATGGGGATTTGTCTCTGTGTTTTCCGTTCCTTTCATCTTCTTGTCTATCTTGATGACAGTCCATGCTGCTTTTGTTAAGATAGCTCTGTAGCATAATTTCAGATCAGCTATTATGAGGCCTTCTTCTTTGCTTTTCCTACTTTGTATGGCTTTGGTTATCCTATGTGTCTTATTCTTCCAAATGAATTTAAGAATTTTTTTTTCTAATTCTGTGAAGAATGTTATTGGTATTTGAGAGGGATTGCATTGAATCTGTATACTGCTTTTGGTAGTATGGCCATTTTGACAATATTTATTCTGCCAATTAAGAACATAGGATATCTTTCCATCTTCTAAAGGTTTTTTTCCCTAAATTATATATTTTTAATGGCATTTTCATGAGAAATTRGTCTTAGGTTATAATGACAGTACTCTGCCATTTCAAATGTAATGATCATTTTACTGCTCTTCTTTTTTTCCTTTTCAGACCACTGATCAGTACTGGGTTCCATATTTACAAGATGAAACTGAGAAACTAGTTCGTAAGGTAAAATAAATAAATGCTAACTCATTGACTTGAAAGAGACTTTTAGAAAAATAAATGAAAATATACATATAGATAAGAGTTAATGTGAACTGTTGCTATTTGCTTAACTCTGTCATATCACTCAATTATTTGAGACTTCTGAATGGCTTATGTTAATAYTTCAAAGAAAATAAAACATAATAAATTTGATTTATTTTCAGTTAATTCGATTGGACAATCTTTTTGCCTACTGGAATGTACACTCTCAGATGTTTTATCTTAATGATTATGACAAATCATTGGTGAGTAAATTATTTGGATGTGTGCATATATGTTTGTTAGTATCATATTTTGTATAAAGTATAATTCATCATAAGTATTCTATCACTACCAGAGTTGGTATTTTTTTTCCTAGGTAAAATCCATTAGCTATTTATACTAATAGGTGAATTACACAAGCATGAATGCACGTACACACATATATGCATATCTTAATATCTCCTAAAGCATTGTTTTGTAGTAGTTTAATGCTATATTGTTTAATTACTTTAATATTTTCTCATAGCTGAGTGCTTTTAAACATTTTTTTGCAGATAATAGAATTTTGTAGGATAAAGGTATATTGATGTGAATATAAATAAAAGCAATTTGTCTTTTAATAGGACAACTTGAAGAATGGCGTTGTTAAAGAACATATTGTTCCACAAGGTTATGATTTTGGTAAGTGTATTCTATAAAATAAAAAGTATAATTAATCAGTATAAAATGTACATTAACATTTTTGATATTACTGTTCTTTTATATTAAATTTTCTCTTGTGTAGTTGAGATATCTATAATATATTTAATATATGTGAGAAGAAAGGAGGAGGGATGAGAATGGGAATGACAGTAGAATGAATTAGACATAGTTTTCCTATGTTCATGTATGAATGAATACACAACCAGTATAGTTCTACATCATGTACAACCACAAGAATTGGAAGTTATACTCCATGTATGAATGAAATGTCAAAATACATTCTATTGTCATGTATAACTACAAAGAACAAATAAAAAAATTTAAAAAACAAAAAAAATTATCTTTTTTATATGCTTAGGAGCTTTAGCTGTCATTCAGAACTACAGGAGAAAATGTCTAAAAACAAATACGGTAATAAATTGTGATAAATCTCTAAGGATTATATTCAATAAGGCTTATATTCAGTTATATTCAATATTAAGATAATGTTTATAAAGATATTTTGACATAGCAAATACAGCTTAATAAAACTAGCTGCTATAGCTTTAGTTGCACTGTGATCTTACTATTTTAAAAACATGCACTTAAAATTTTTCTTCTTTATAGTTTTTTGTTTTTCAAATTTTCTAAATGAATACATATTGCTTTTATAATGTGAAACAAGTTACTAAAATACACAGAGAAAAGGAGTGTCATTTCTTCAATCCTGAGGACACTCTTGAATTTGGCTGCCTGCTGTCATTAACCACAAAATATTCTCCCTGAAAGTATTTTTCTTTTTGTATTATTCTACCTTATTGATAACCTTTGTCAGTTTCCTCAAATGGCTCTTCTTATTCTTCCCACTCTTAAAATATTATTTTCATTGTTTTGAATATAGTTTCATTTTTAAACTTGTTCCTCATAGGAAATGCTCAGAATTGAAGAGCTATCTATCATATATGTTTATGATTCTCAAATCTGTTACTTAAGGTTTGACTTATTTCTCCTTTGCCCTGTGGTCATTTTATATTGTATCAGTAAGGATCCAATGAAGAGAGAGAATTGAATATAATTCGAACAGGTAAAGCTTAATGTAAATAAATATTTACTGTTAGACAGGTTTGGAGTAACAAGGTGTTGACTAGTTAAAAAAAAAGAAGAGAAATCTAAAAAATTTAGGAGTAGATGGTAAAAGAAATAGCTTCTACTCTAGGGCTAAGATGAAGTGCCTAAAGAAGGACCCCTTCCTGGGGACTGAGGTCTAGACCTTGTTGGAGAGGTAATGGTTGTAGCTCACTGGATGGCAGAAAGTCCCTATTCTGCTGTGCCCACATATCTGTTCCCTGGTTAGCCTCATGGAGAGGTTTCTTACTGTCAGTACTTTAGTACAGGTCTTCCTAAGTAGGGTAGTAGGGGAAGTTGCTGCTCTATGCTCTACCTTCAAAAGGCTGGTTCTAAATACCTTCATGCTATAGGAGCCAGTCAGTGGTTAAAGTCTGTTCTAAAGGAATGGAGAACCATTCATTTGTAGAAGTTTGTTAAATGACCACACTGGAACCAGGCAGGATAAATCCTTCCTCTGTAGTGTCACTAGTGGTTTAAAGGTTATTATTATAATGGCCGGTAAAGGAAAAATATTTGAAGGACCTTAAACCATTTTTCAGAGCAGGCATAAAGGGTRAATTTGGAATTCACAGGCAATAAATTCATAACTGGCTTAATGCTAGGAAGGGTAGTTGTTGTTTGTTTGGTACCGGGGTCTTGCTGTGTTGTTTAGAGCCTCGTTGAGTTGCTGAGGCTGGCTTTGAACTTGGGATCCTCCTGCCTCAGCTTCCCAAGCCACTGGGATTACAGGCATGTGCCACCATGCCCAGCTGGAAAGGAAGTTTTTATCATGAAATTTTCACTATAAATGATGAATCTTTGAGGACATAGATAGATATGTTTAACCGTATTTAAACATTTCACGATGTATGCATGTATTCAAACAGTAGATGACAACCCATTAATAGGTATAATTTTTATGCTTTTACCTATCAGTTAAGACATTTTAAAAAGTAGAGAAAACAGACTTTAAAAACAGTAACACAAAAATAACATGGCAGAGTATCGATGAAACTAAGGACATGTAGCAAAGTGAAAAGTTTACAGATCAACCAGTTGTAGTAAGTGCTAGTCCTTAGGGATGAATAAGAGGAATACAKTATCATTGTATACAAATTAGTTTATAATTTGATGGTTGATATCTGTCTGGATTCTGCTATTATTGGTCTCTCTCTGCATAGTTCTTATTCTTTTTGGTATGGTGAAGTGAAYGAAGCAGGTAATCTGGGAAAAACTGTCATCTTCTCTGCCCTTGTTTCACAAATTGAAAGGAGGAATAGGAAGATACAGAGAAATTTAGAATTCAAAATCATAAAATGAAAGTCAATTTTAAATATAATTGTTTTCATAATATTTCTAATAATCATTTTCTAAAACCGTGTACTTTTAGTGAAACCATTTTATTGGACTATTTTTCCTTATAGTTGAGTGTTGTTGCTTTTAAGCATTTATTGGTGTTCTGAGGGTGCGTTTTGTTAGCCTTATTCTACTTATGGAAGATAACATGAATTATAAGGAAAAAAAACCCATTTTCACTAATTAAGAAACAGTTCTTTGGACCAAGTTATGGCAGTGTGGACATTTAAGAACTGTAAAAAGGGTATAAAAGAAATGAAAATCAGTGTTTTCAACTTGATACCTTTGGTGCCTTGAGACTTTTAAAGGATGACTGAATTTGATTTTTTTTCAATTTCTATTATTTTTCAGTATTTCGCCCCATATCTGCTAAAGCCAAACTTCAGATGAATCGCCGATCAGATTTCGACTTTTCTGACCCCAAAATAAACTTGGAAGTTGAGTTACATAGCATAGCAATTGAATTTAATAAACCACAGGTGATTTTCTTTGATGAAATTTAAAGTTTTGAGTTATTGTTTAATCAAAGCAGRACTAAGATTTTCAATGTTTTTCTAAAATTCATAATGTTATATGGTAGCATTTCCTTAAAAAGTTGGTAATTTCACTTTTCAGTTGAGCAAAAAACTTCAAACATTTGAGAATTTTAATTTGTCCATTCTTTAGTATTTCAGTGCTATGGAGCTTCTTGAATCAGTTGATATGATGACACAAAACCTGCCATACAGGAAATTCAAACCTGATGTTCCTCTTCATTTCCATGCCAAGGAATGGTAAAAATGCCTTTTAAGTTTTTTTGTTTGTTTGTTTTGTTTTTCAATAATGATTTAAAACATATGGCAAAAAAGTAAGTTTCTTAGACATTAATTTTTTTAAGGTAGTCTTTTTAAGATCTTGATACAAACTTTGATTAAATTGATTTGTGTCTGGAAATGTATGTAGTAGCTGTTTTTGTTAGTAACACTGACTCAAGGGGTTCTTTATAACTGTTTATAGCTAGAGATAATAAAATACCATAATTTTTATTTACTATAGAGGGATCAGTGTTTTTGCAATTATTTAAAAACTATCTTGGTTTGTTTTCTAGCAATATCTTCTTTTTTTTCCTTCAAACTTTCCTGTCAGACCCACTAAATCTATTTACTAGACATGAGTTTTAAAAACTGAGAASGTTATAGAGTCTATATGGTAAAACTCCATTTTAAAATGCAAAGATATATTGTTATTCTAGTTTTTAAATAATTATCTAGTTTCTACAAGTTTCTATTACTTTTTTAGGTATGTACTTCACTTATTATTTTACTAAAAAGCCTTAATAGTTTTTGTGTAGAGCCATATAATTTTTAGCCAAAATTGAATGATTTTGCTTATTTTTACTTTGGAAAGAAGTAAGATTAATAATTAACGGATTGTTAATATAAACAGGATTGGGAAACAGCAAATGCTCAGATAATACATCTTTTTACTAATCTTAATATTATAGATATGATTGTTGTTAGAGTATAAGTTTTGTTTCAGACTGTTGATTTTAGAGTGTTATGTTTGGGGTGTTTCTTTTTGTTTTGTAACTAGGTGGGCTTACGCTATACATGGTATTCTTGAAGTAAATGTTTGCCCCAGCTTACGGATGTGGTCATGGAAGCATATTCGGGAACATAGACAAAAACTGAAGCAATATAAAGAACTATACAAGAAAAAGTTAACAAATAAGAAACCACCTGGTGAAATTCTCATGTCTTTAGAGGTTAGCATTTAAATAAATAAAAAAAAAMMCACAAAATAGTTGTACTGTATAATGCCTACATCAATATATTTAGTGACTCATTATTCTAACTTTCAGTGACTGCACTTTTTTTTAGACACCTTTGTGCTCCTGTTCTAATTTCACGTAATAAAAGATCTTATGAAATTCTCCTGTGAGCTTTTGAAATTTAGGAGATTATATTTATTCTGAAGAGATTTGGGTTTATGCACATGCTAACTTGAAGTCTCATGTTGTTTTTAACCTCAAAGCCAAAATAAAGTGTATGCTACACTTTTTTCAAACTTCTCTGTTGGTTTCCAAAGTTGTATGTTACTGGCATCATCAATCACATTTTTGCTGTTATCATCTGATATGTGCATTAATTAAGTTTTCTATATGTTCAGTGCTCATTTTTTGTATATATTTTTAGTTACAGATGGACACAATACCTTCATTTTATTTATTCATATTTTTGTTGTGCTGAGGATTGAACCCAGTACCTCACACATGCTGGCAAGGGCTCTACTACTGAGCTACAACCCCAGCTCCAGTCCTCATTCTTGTAGAAACAGTTGTGCTAATATGTGCCATCCATCTTTCCTCATTTAATTCTTCTTATCCCTGAACTTGTACTGAAGTGTCATCTCTTGCATGAAGATCCCTGAATTTTCTGCCCATATTTTATAGTTAATACTCTGTCTTGAGATACTATCTGTGTATTAACTGTTGTGAGATACTATCTGTGTGTTAGTCTAAATCTTTTTGCATTTTACATATTCTAAAAGGGGCTATTTTACAAGATGGATGAAGTACAGCTTAAAGAGACAAAGGGAGTTAGCCTCTTGAAATTAGTGTAGCCATTCTGAATCTAGAATGGATTTCCAATTAGAAACTCCCTGAAGATTGAGTTTTACTTTTATTTTTAAGGTGGGACACTTTCTGAAGACCCAGTGATAATTAGGAATGCTTGGGTTTAGAGGCTATGGGTCGTTTCAGATTTCCTTATTTAGTTTTGAATCTTAAGCAGAGGCCTTCAAGTGTGCTGAGTAGTAGAATCCCGAGTTAAGCTATTTTTTAGAAAATAGTAGGTCATGGTTGCATGTATGTATCTTTTATCTGTGGGACAAAAGTAGCTTGAGCATACTACTTGAAAGTTATAGAAATGAGTAGATATGATGAAGGATTTAGCTTATCTCAGTTTATTTTTATAGCTGTTACAACTGTGAAAAGTGTAAAGATTAAAAAAATGTTTTAGCAAATTTATCTAGGTCTACTTGGAATATCTTAATGATGCCATGCAAGCTGTACATATATTATGAAGGATTTATAATTATATTTTTAGTTGAAAATGATATTGATATTTTACCTTTAGCTATATTAAAAATCCAAATAAGTTATTTAAAACAATGTATATATGTATCTATACTTCTTACAGAGTTTGTACTCTAATATTTATGACACATATGATTTTTTTGTTCAAAATATTCTGTATACTAATTTTCACTTTGGTGTATATACATACACACACAACACACACACTAGTGTTGCCTTTCAGAATTTAGCGATATATTTTGTTATATTGGTAGATGTTCTCTTTCTATATGAGAGAGCTTCCTCTCTCATATTTTTCTATAGTATAGCAGTTTGTAGATTTATATACTAAAGTTATTTATGTACATTTATTTATATAACATTACCATATTTTCTTTTATATTTTCAGGAGCTGGAAAAAGCCTTGGATGTCTTTAATATAACTATAGCTAGACAACAGGCAGAAGTTGAGGTAACTTCAGATTTTTCTTTCAATTAGTAAGAATAATTCTGAATTCCATATGGTTATGACCGATATGTTGTTATTAATATTTTGTATTATAGTTTCCTAAAAGGGCTTAAATTTGCATTTTTGCATTATAAGAAAATTTGATTTCATTTTTTGCCATATCCATTTAAATCAGACATATTTTTATGGAAAGAAATTCTTTTGAAATAATTGGGCTTTTCAAATATTCAGAGTTCATATGAAAGTGAAAGCAAGTAGGGGTCACCCTTCCTCTCCCCTGCCCCAGTCACCAAATCTTATAACAGGAAGAACTATGTGGTAATCCTAAATTCTTATGTTTGGCTAATTGAAGTTACTGGGTTATTTTTTCAGTATGYTTATTGTTTACATTCATTCAGGTAGATAATTTTGAAATACCATGTATCCATTTCTATTGATTGCTAAAAAATGGATAATTTGTCATTTATTCAAAAATTTGTTGATTTTAGTTAAAGAAAACTGGACACAAGATTTATAAAGAAGGAATAATTGATCCAGAGGATAACAAAGGATGGTTTAACTGGCTATGGACTTGGTCAGAATCACATACTAAAGAACAACCAGATGTTAAACCTGGAAGTATGTCCATTTCATTTTACAGTAGAGTAGTTAATCATTACTTGTGAAAATAGAGTTTTGCAGAAAATTTCCTAATTAAATAGACATTGGGTAAGCATATGTACATGATTATATTCAGTTTAAATTTATTATTAATAAAKTTATTGTTTAAGCATTTTAATATGTACAAGCAAATAAATAATTTGTTTTTATTTTTTATTTCTATATGACAGTGTAATGCATTACAATTATTATTACACATATAGAGCACAAAGTGTTCAGTACAGTTAGCCATATTTTGAGCTCTTGCTTAAAACAAACATTTAGAAATTTATATTGCTCAATTTATATGTTTAGTAATTTGTATTTTAGGAAAGTAACTTCTAAAAGTACCATTGTCATTCTAATATTAGTTGATACTTAAAAATATTAGAAAAGGAAAATAAAATTTTCATGTTATTTCTGAAGGCAGGTGAATTATATTTCAGTTTTTTATTGTTACCACCTGAAATTTCAAAGTTCTTGTTTACAATTTGTAGTTCTGGAAGAAATGTTGACACTTGAAGAAAAGGCTTTACTCTATGAAGCAATTGGCTATAGTGAAACAGCAGTTGATCCAACCTTGCCCAAAACAGTAAGATGTTTTCTTACCTAACACCTCTGAGTTTAGTGTTGGATATGTCTATTTTAATTTTTCTCAGAAATATGTGCTACTACCTTTTTTCTGTGATCTGTTTCTGAGTCTGTAAATATTGCATTTATTTTAATTTCCAAGGTAAGAACAAAAATTATCCTTTACTTTTTGGTGTTACTGTGGTATTTCTTTGGGGGAATAGATGAAGGATTGTTTCTAAAGTATTTTGTGTTTTTGAAATGAATGAACTATATTAAGTAAGATTATTTTTTTGTGTATATATATGTATATATATACACACACACACACACACACACACACACACACACATATTTATGTATATTGTTTTTTCCATTTTATTTTTCTGGTTATACTCTAGTTTGAAGCCCTGAAGTTTTTTGTTCATTTGAAAAGTATGTCCATCGTTCTAAGGGAAAATAACCAAAAACCTGAGCTGATACACATTGTAGTAGAAGAATTTAGCACGTTAATTGTGCAAAGACCAGGAGCACAAGCAATCAAGTAAGTAATTATTTGCTTTCACAGGTTAAGAATCCCTAATTTGAAATTCTGAAATGCTCTAGAATCCAAAATTTTTGAGTGCCAGCATAATACCACTAGTAAAAAATTTCACACCAGATATTATGTGATGGGTTATAGTCAAAATGCAAATGCACTAAAAATATTTGTATAAAATTATCTTCAGGCTCTGTATATGAGATATATATAAAATGTTAATTCATTTCATGTTTAGACTTGAGTCCCATCCCCAGGATATTGTGCCTATATACAAACATTTAAAAATCTAAGGAAATCCTAAATCAGAAATATTTCTAGTCCTAAGCATTTCAGGTATGGGGTACTCAACCTTATTTAAAAAAAAAAAATTACTGAGACTGAACTTGAATGTATCCTTTCTGTTTTTAGGAACCTATTTTTTCTAGTAACATGATGGGTATGTATCAATTCTTAATTATAATAAATGTTCAGTAGAAAACTGCATGCCAATGAAACATAGGACACTAAAGAAAAATACAAAAATGGGCAGAAGTTATGCCACAGTAAAAGAAACAACATTAACAATGTAGTTTTTAATCTGGCAATATCTTTATTTTACTGTCAGCCAAGATCTTTCCCAAGAGACTACTTGTGGGATCAACACAGTATTGCTCATGTCTTAAAAGGGGCAGTAACAGATAAAACAAAAACACAGACAGCTAGAGGGAATTCCCAAACCCAAGCTCAATAAACAGATGAGAACCTAAGCAGACCAGAAAAGAGCAAATATCCGTAGGTTTGCGTCTACTTAACTTTGAATCCTACACCAGTAACTCCACAGATGTTCCCACATAGAGGGACAAGATGGTGTGGAATCAAGAGTCTCAATGTGCACACCRGGGGACTTACCAGATGGCCAAGGGTGTCATGACTTTACTGAGTTCAGTTTCCTCTTTCTCAAAGTGGACCAAGATGGAGTAGCCTGATAAGGGAGGGAAGGCCAAAGCAAAAGGAGCTTCTGCAGCTTCTGGGACAATCCCTCAGTCCCTCCCTTTACTCAAAGTATCAGCTCTTCCAGTTCGACCTGAGGCAAACTCACTGGTCTTCTAACTCTCCTGCAGATGGTTCTCCATAGGTTTGCCAACCACTTGATATCCTTAGCATGAAAGTGGGATTGCTTGGAGAGCCAKGCCTGCCTAAGAAAATTGGAGTGGGGGCTGTTCTTGGGTCCCATCTGGGGTACCAGATTTGTTACTGAAAGCTCAGTCCTTGTCCCTGATGCTAATCCAATAATGAGAACACAGTTTGAGAAAAAGGAAAAAGAAGTTTTATTGCTTTGATAGCAAAGGAGAAACAGGAGGGTCTCTGGTGCCAGAGGCTGTGATTCTCTCCTTTGTTCTCTTGATATATAGTATATTACCGCAGGTGACTTTCAGATTTTAAAAGATCATTATGTTCCTGAAATAAACCCCATTTCGTCATTGTATAATCCTTTTTTAAATATTGCTAGATTGKGTTTTCTTTTATTTAGTTGAAAATTTTTTAGATCGATTAACCTATAGTCTTCTTTTGCTTGTGATATCGTCATCTTTTTTTTGTAAATTAAGGAAATACTTGTTCTCATATAATGAGTTGTAAAGTGTTCCTTCCTCTTTGACAAGCTTGGTAAATAATTTTTTAAAATTCTAATTTAAATATTTGTTGGTAGAATTTACCAATGAAGTTATTGAATCTTGAGCTTTCTTTGTTRTAAGTTTATAATTACTGGATAATATGGTAATAGCTTTTTTTTTAGTAGTTTTTTGCCTTTAATAATTTGTTTCATCTATGATCTTATTTCTTTGCATATAGTTTATAGTATTACCTTACAATTCTTTTTCATTCTTTGAGATTTACTATCCTTTTTCATTTTTGATCTTAGCAATTTGAGTCTTCTTTCATTTTTCTTAGTCTAGATAAATTTTGTTAATAGTTCTAAAAAAACCCAACTTTGACTTTGTGGATTTTCTTTATTTCTCTAGTCTCTCATTCATTACTTATCCTCTAATCCTTATTGTTTTCTTTATTCAGCTTACATTAGGTTTTGCTTGCTCATTCTTTTATAGTCTGTTTAAGTGTGTTTACTGCCTATAATGGGTAGAATTTTGTTCTCCAAAAACTAATGTCAAATCCTAATTCTAAGTAACTGTGAATATAACCTTATTTGAAAATATGGTCTTTGCAGATGTAATCAAGTTAAGTTGAATTCATGATAGGTTGGTATGTTGGCCCTAATCCTGATTTATGGCCTTATGAGGAGAATTTGGACCCAGGTTCAGAAAACAAGGAAGATGAAAGAGAGAATATGATCATAGATTTGAAATACTACATTGCAACAATGGCAGAGTTGCAGAATGTTCAAGCCAAGACTTACCAGCAGCTCAGAATTTTGGATAGAAACAAGGAACAATTACTTCCTCTAAGCTTTCAAAAGGAACTAATTCTACTGACACCTCAATTTTAGATTTCTTTTTTTAAAGAGAGAGAGAGAGAATTTTTTTTTAATATTTACTTTTTTTTTTTTTTTTTTTTAGTTTTCGGCAGACACAACAATTTTGTTTGTATGTGGTGCTGAGGATCGAACCCAGGCCGCATGCATGCCAGGCGAGCGCACTACCGCTTGAGCCACATCCCCAGCCCTCAATTTTAGATTTTTAATCTTCAGATCTGTGAAAGAACAGATTCTTAAGTATTCCAGTATGTGATAATAGAACAGATTCTTAAATCTTCCAGTATGTGATAATTTTTATGACAGTCCTGAGAAATTAATGCCATAACTTTTCCCAACTCCTTTTTGAAAGGACTCTATTCTGTGTCCTTAAGTCTGTTTCATTATCTCAGATGGTGAGATAGTGACTTGATAGAGATTTCTTTAAAAGCCTGGGATCAAAAGGAAACAAAGTTAAATACTCTTCCAGCTCTGCTTTGAGCTCTAACATTTCTTTAATGTTGTGCCAGGCTACCTATAACTCTGTCTTTGCATAAACCTCCTCCTTTTATGCAGCTCACAGATTTACTAGACCTGTTAATCTAGGTTTTTGTCAGGTCTTCTTTAGAAAATCTCTGATCCTGGGCTTAAGTGTTGCTCTTTGGTTTCCATGGTACTTTCAGTGGGGATTTTGAGACTTTATTCCTCCTAGAAACTTTCTTTTGAACCTCCTTCTTCCCACACTTTTGGGTCTGTTTGGTGCTTTCCCTAATCATTGTCCCATGTCCTGGCATCTGTGATATGGGCATTTCKTTAAATTTTGGAACTGGTACTGCCTCTGCCTGGATGGTGGGAGTATGGAATGAAGGTCATCCTCTGTGCTGGTATTTTGGGGAACCTCCAAATAGATTACAACATTTGACCACAGTATTTGAAGAACAAGGTTCCTGTAGTCCCTTGGCATCAGTCAGCCATAGTAGGAATATGAGCCATTGTCCCCATGGCAACCACACTACTGGAGAAAGGGGAATGGTAGATAGTTAAGCAAAAATGCCATGATGCTTTGTTTCTGAAACCCAGTGTCCTTTTTCATTAAGCACTTTCCTGTTTGTTAAAAGATTTTTTTTTTTTAAATTAGATTCTAGGGTTCCAAAAAAAGTTGATTTTTGTCCATCCTTGTTAGCTTATAATTGCTTCAGTGGAAGGATTCTTTGAATGCTTTATTTTGCCATTTTATGTGATATTCTTCTTTTTTATTTTGGACTCTGGGGTCTCACTGTATTACCCAGGCTGGCMTCCCAACTCTTGGGCTCAAGTGGATCCTCTTCCCTGTTTCCTGAGTGGTTGGAACTAGAGGCATGCTGGGCCTGGCTGTCTTTTAATGTTATCATTAAAGTGGTTGGATTATATATGCAATTTTGCTTTTAGTTTTTTTTATTTCTCATGATTATTTTGTTCCTGTGTTCCTCCTTTACCTGCCACCTTCCATTGGCTTTTCTAGTTTGTCATTTTAATTTTTTAAATAATTTAAAAATATTCTTACGAATTAATTTCTTAGGTGGTGTTGGGCTCGTAATATATATCTTGACTTTTTACAATTTACTTCAGATTTATGCTAACTTTACTCTGGTCAGACATAGAAACTTTATTCCTATGTAAAACCATTCCCTTTCCCCTATTTTTGCACTATTATTTCTAAATATGATACTGTATTTTATATTTATATAAATATACATTATATAATTTTTGCCTTATATAATCATATCATTTTATAAAGCTTTGTGAAGAATGAATAGTAATAAGTCAATGCATTGATGTTTTTTGTTATTGTTTAATATTTACCTTATCCACTGGTGTAGTTCTCTTCATTTCTTCCCATATATTCCAGTTACCATCTGCTATTAATTTTCTTTATTCAATATAGCTTTATTCCTGTCCTTTTGCTTTGTATTATTGTTATTTAACTTAATTTCTCTCTGCTATGGGTCCCAAAATATAATTTTATAGATAATGTTTTATGCAATTATTTTTAAGTAATATAAAAGAAACTGAAAAGCAACATATAATTATGCTGTCTTTTATCATTACCTATGTAACTACCTTTACATAAGCTTCATTTTTCCTTGTAAGTTTACATTGATGACTGATATTAATTTCTTTCATCCTAAACAACTTCTGTCTGTATTTCTTTTAAGCTAATTTTGCTAGTAATTAATTCTGTTGAGGTTTTGTTTATCTTGGAATATTTCAMACCTTACTCTTATTTTTGAAAAACAATTTTGCTGGTTTTAGGACTCTTGGTTAACAAGTGTTTTCCTTCCTTCCTCAGCTGGGGATTGAACCCATGGCTTCTCATATACTATCAAACACTCTACTACTGAGCTACTGAGTTATACGCCCAGTTTGACAAGTGTTTCAGCACTTTCAGTGCGCTGTGCCACTGCCTTCTTGCCTCCATTGTTTCTGCTTTTCTTTCTTATTGTGGTTTCAGTGTATTATGAATCATTGTTGTTTTTGGTGTTCATGGGATTTTTCTTTATCATTTAGTATTTTTTTG